GGTCAGCTCCAAGTCGGCCACGGCGCTGACCGCTTTGCCGTTGTCCTCACAGGTCCTCGATCCTGAGCGAGGTGTCCACTCGCGCCAGGTCTAAGCTGCCGTCGGGCAAGAACATCCTGGTCTTCGGTGAGCGCCAGCTGCGGGGCGTTGCCCAGGGAACGAGGGTGGGCCAAGTGGGCGCCCCTCTCGCACGCCGAAACTTGTCTTTCCCCTGCCGCCTACTCGTACCTTGTCTCGCCCGGGAAAGCCAGGAGACTCTGGCTGGACAGCCGGAGCGTGGCCAAGTCCATCACGCCTGAGGTTGGGATGTTGCCTCTCTTGGCTCACTGATACTGGAATGGGTAGCGGTACATTCCTTAGTCATTTGGCCGCGACAGCAGTCAGCCCTCTTTAAATGCCCCTGACGGACTCCCTGCGCGGATAGCTTCAACGCACACCAAATTGTGGGGCTCGAAAGTGGCGTGGGCCGCTGAGGTTAGGTGGAGGGGGCAAGGAATGAAGTGATTTGGGATAGGGGGAAGCCCGGAGATGCCCAGTCTTCAGAACAGTGCACTCTCAGAGGTTTTAGGAATTAGGAATGATAGCAGGCCTGGGAGTCCACACTGGGCACTTCCCAACGGCACTCCATTCCTCATTGCTGGGGTACATGGGACAGATTCCTTAAGGTCTGTGGCCTCAGTTTTCGCATACAAATGAGGGAGTTTTGAGTAAGTGTGTGTATTCAGTCAGCAAACCCATTTGTCAACTGGATCCTGTGATGAAGGCACTGGGGCAGCACACTACATAAAGTTCTCAGTCTGGTGGAAGACAGACGTCTGGGTGGTTATGCCCCACGCACGGCAGATTATTGTGGGCGCATCACGCTTCTTGGTGCTGTTTGGAAAAGAGGTAATTTTGGGATCAAGTGTTTTGAAGGACACATGTCAAGTGTTTGCAGGAACACAGTGGTGATAGATGGGGGTGGGGGTGGAGGTGGGGGGTTGGGTTAGAAGTTGGCCAGGAGCTCCTTGCGGAAGGTGACGGACATGTCACTTGGGGCATATTGTGAAAGGCTGAAGAATTGATGCTTTTCCCAGAAGATCTTTAAGAAGTGGGGTATCAGGGTCACCAGATAGTTGTTTTAGAAAGTGAACTCTGGCAGAAGAGTGGCAGGGGGCTCAGAATAAGCAGGAACAGAAATCAGGCAGTAACCACTGCCCAGATGGCATGTGGAAGGCCCGAATAAAGTAGTGGTGTTGCAGTGGAGAGGCGGCCTTTGATCTGTGGAATGCCTTTCAATTTCCATGTTCTGTAATTCCATATTATTAAATCCCAGAGGTGCCTAGTGATATTTCTTGGTGGTGGTTCTTTCCTGGGGCAGGGGTGGTTGGTAGTTGGGTGGAGGGGTATGAGGAGCCGCTTGGTAATTACTAAGATTGTGCTTAAGAGTTTTGGTCTCTAATTATTTTCATCAGTTTCTTAGCCTTTAGGATGCTTATGAAAGAGATGTACTGAGATCAAAAGTGAACAGAGCTCCCATTCTTCAGAGGCAGGACCAGGCTTTTTTTGGTTCCTGGATTTTTGAGAGATTTAGATTCCTTGTGGTAAAAGTTTATTTTGTGATCAGGTAGTTCCACTGTTTACTTTCACTTCTCCAAATGCATCACTTATAAATTGTAGCACCATAGAGCTGTCCTAGTCTTTTCCTTGTGAAGTAGGTTAAGGTCAGTAGAATGGAATTTGCCACCTCTCCTCTTGCTTCCCATCCCTGTCCTCCCCCATCCATTCTTACAGCAAAGCCTGAGGCAAGACCTCAGTAGTGAACTTTGCAATAAATTTTTAGTTATTCCTTGTCAAGTGAATGTCAAAAGACTCCCCAGCTTTGCCCACGATAAACAGTACATTTTGTCTTCTTACATATATAACTTGTAGGTGACGATGGTTCAGGCAAAACAACACTCATGACTAAACTACAAGGAGCTGAACATGGCAAAAAAGGAAGAGGCCTCGAGTATCTCTACCTCAGTATCCATGATGAGGACAGAGATGGTAAGTGAGGCATTGATCCAGGGTCGGGGTGTGTGCATGTCTGATTCATTGGTTGGTTTCCGCGCCAGGTCCAGGCATTCTTAATTTTCTGTTTCGTTCTCAGAGAATTAGTCGCAATGGAATAGATGAAGCATATACTTAACCTACTTTTCTTTATAGGTTATCTTAACAAAAATGGCACCTTTCCTTTATAGGATATCTAGTAAAAATGGGAAATCAGGCTGTTCACTGCTGCAGTGGGTGACCCCCTACTTAAGGGGAAATACTAAAAGTGACATTTGGATATATGTAAGGTGGTAACATTTTTAGAAGGTTTTTAGAAATTTTGCACTTTACTATGAAACACTTGGCCCAGTAGTCTGGGTGGCATTGCCTGGTTCTAGTGGCAGATATGAAATTTGTAAGGTTCAGCTTAGAACAACTTAACAGATACTCCAGAGTTTTTCTTTGTGACAATTGAAAAAGCCAATTTCCTGTGTTTCTTTCAGCAGAGAGAATAGAGGCTCAGTGGTAATAATGGTTTCTTTAATTCTTTATCTCTACATTGTAGCTAGTAGTTTCTCCCTACAGGGTAGTTAGGGTGATTAAAAGCACAAGATCGGCCCTCCCTGGTGGCGCAGCGGGTTAAAGCACTGCACAAAGAAGCTTAAGCCACTTCCGC